AATTGCACATATTGTTTAAAGAGTTATTTTGATTGACTACTATTAGCCTAGTGGTAACCAGAAGCATCATCCAAATAACAACACTCACTGATCATTTCCAAATGCCATAGTGATGCTGACCTAACTGTGGAGTAGATGCAGTTTGGTCAATGGGGAAATGCTTCCGTTGACCTTGCTTTTGTCGCTCTGGGAATGGGTGTTCCTACAGCAATGAAAAAACCCAAAGACCTGTGTTGGGTTAAGCCAGATCCACATTATAGGGTTAGGCTGGCATTGTTATGTAACTATAGATATACATCTGTAGTTCCTGCACTGGAGACATAACCAATCACTTAACACCCCACCCCCAACATTACCATAATAGAAATAAGTAAAAACAGGATAATCTGTAAAACCAGGCAAGAATTTATGAACATGGAGCCTCTGACTCCTATTATGCTGCCTTTTCCCCCTTTTGGTGGAATAAAGGAGTCATAAAAGCTTTCATAAACTAGCATCTGGGGATTCTCCCAGCATGCAGGAGCTAGTGTAACTACACTTGCAGCCAACCTCCATGAGCTGAAAGAGGAAGGAAACATGGCTGAAACGTGCTGCCAGCCAATTCTTACATGGAAGTAAAATGGGCTAAACTAACAACAAACATTTTCCTAATGCTAATTTTTCATTACAGTGATTGCCAATGGATGTTGTCTGATTATCTAATTTGTTGTATTTTGGGAGACAAAGTGCTCCATGTGATTGTGAGTGCATAGAGTGATAGTCCATGAAAATATCTTTGTGAAGATGCTGACCACCTATTATTTACTTCTGTGCTTGCTGGCTGCTTTTCTTTGAAGCGATAGAAAATTCTACCTTTCTTAATCTCACAAGGGTTAAGTTCCTGCTGCAAAAGTCTCCAATCTCTGACTTCATGCATGCATGGCACTAATACATAATCCAGTTGGATGAGGACTGTCTCTGATCACATTGAACCCATTCATCACATCTCAGTACAAATCCTGTGCTTGGAAAGTAAGAAGGAATCACAAAATGTTCTAATACTTGGGGCTGAAGAAATAAAACAATATAGGATATCAGACTGTGCAAAAAGGACAGATTACAGGTCAATATTTGTTATAATCATTCCCCTAGTACAAAAGTTGTATACGTGGCAGTAATGATGCACGCTTTTTTGCACTGCATGAAATGTTATCTTTTGGTCCACCAGAAAGCATGATTCTGACACAGATACCAGAAACCAATTGTCCTGCTCATACTGAGTCATGTGCTACTTATAGGCATTGCTTTTCCCTCTGCTGGGAGAAACTAGTGAAATATAATTATGAACTCATCATGGAAATCAATAAGGAAGGATAACATACGGTCATGAAGCAGAGCCCCATTGTTCCACTCTCATTCATTGCCAACAACATTTTCTCCGCACAAATATTTTCCTTGAAACAGCTGCAGTTGTGCAATAGTTTAGCTATACAGTACACACATGTAGGGAACCAGGATGTTGTTTACGCTGCAAATTCTTGTTAGTGTTTTAGTTTGTTCTCAGTTATGGGAAAGAAAGGAAGTCTGAAGAGCTGCTGAATAATTATCACTGTAAATAACCAATCAGTAGCAATGCACCTGGGTAGGCTACATCAGTTCATACTAGAAACAGTGGCCAGTCTGTTACTACTAACTATCAATGACTTTTCTCTCACTGCCAGGCTGCATAGCCAATCCTTTGTATATTTGATGAGGGCAAACAATGCACATACCCACACAAACAGGAATGTACATATATGCATGATGCTGGATTTCTTAGCGAACTGGTGTTTATTATTTACTGATCACCCAAAAATGCACTAGGAATTCTCCAGAGTAAAGAGACTGATATGGTCCATACCCTAAGATGCTTACAGTCTAATTTTAGACATGATGCAATGTTGGGGAGTAACAAACAACAGGGAAGGATTAGGGTGCGGGTTACAGCACTGAGCCAGTGCAGTTATACTGTGTAGGCATGTGTACATCCTGAAGACTCAATGCAAATTTTTAAATGATTAATTGTTACTGACATACTGTCAGAGAACCAGTCTCTTCCTCAAACCTGTACTACAGTCGTTAAAGCAGGCTTTGCGACAGCTATTCCTTGTAGCACTAGCCATACCTCTGTCAGGCATGTAACCTGGCCAGTTTAGAGCAATGGCACATTTCAGTCATTGTATTGTTTTTCTGGTTGTTACAGACTCTTATATTTCCCAGTATCTCTTCAGAGTTTCATATGGCTCACCCCAACTACACATGTCACAAGCTAATCTAATGATCCAAAAGCTCTTTTGAATATGATTAACACAATGTGCGTTTTACTGGGTAGTTTAAGCCAGACATTTAAGTTTCTGCTTTAGGATTTTATATTGCCACCTATCTCTGTAGCTTCTGACCACCCATCTGTATTTTTTATATGGTTATTGGTGTAATGGATAAAAGGAAGGAGTCAATGTGACATATCTTGATTCTAGTAAGGGTTTTGGCAGTCCCTCATGACACTGTCATGAGCAAAGGAAATGTGGTCTTGATTAAATGAAATGGTTGCAGAAATGGTTGCAAAACAAGTTATCAATGGCTTGTTGTCAAGCTGTGAGGGCATAGTTAGTGAAATCTGGCAGAAGTTAGTCCTGTTCCACTACGAGTCAATATTTTCATTAACGACTTGACTAATAGAGTATAGATCATGCTTTATAAAATTTGCAGATGACAACAGTCTGGGAGGGGTTGCAAGCATTTTTGGGCATTGAATTGGAATTCAAAACAATCTTGACAAATCAGAAATTTATTTTGAATGCAACAAGATGAAATGTAATACAGATAAGTGCAAAGTACTATATGTAAGTAGGAAAACAAGGCTACTATCTTTTTGGGTATATTAGCAGAAGTGTTATCTATAAAAATCTGGAGTTAATTGTCCAACCTACTTTACACTGGGGAGGACATGAATGGAGTATTGTGCCAAATAATGGACACCACGTTTTAAGAAAAGCTTGGACAAATTGGAGTGAATCTAGTGGCGAGCAACATAAATTATAAAAAGGTTTAGAAAACCGGATCTAAGTGGAAAGGTTAAAAAACTTAGACATGTTTATGCTTGAGAAAAGAATACTGAAGAGAGACCTGATAGGCATTTCCAAATATGTAAAGGCCTGTTACACTGAGGTTAGATTTTAGGAAAAGCTTTCTGACTGTAAGGGTAGGTAAGCTCTGGAATAGGCTTCCACGGGAGCTTGCAGATTTCTTCTTACTACAGTTTAAGAAAAGATGGAAAAACACCTGTCAGGGATAGTGTGTTTACTTGACCCTGCTTGCATGCAGGAAGGTGGACATGATGACCTCGTGAGGTCTCTTCCAGTCCTGTGTTTCTAGGCTGGTATAAAATTCATGGTAATAGCGAAGTTCCTAGAGGTTTTCATGATTTCTCTTTTTGAGGTTAGAACGCTACATAGGATAGAATTTATGTTTTCTTAGGTGGTGGGTAAATTTTTTACAAATGCCTGGAATTTAGGTGCCCAAATGTAGGGTATTAGGCTTCAATTAGGCGCTGCTGGAACTGAAGAGAGGTACCATTCACCTGGCCCCAAGCAACTGTGGTGAGAGGGGGTTGAAAGGAGTTCTCTCTCCCTGAGGCAACCTGCACCCCAAACATCTCATCCCTGTCCCCACCCTAGAGCCTGTATGCCCAGGCAGAGCCCTCATAGCCCTGTGCTCCAAACTTTGACCCAGACTTGAGCTCCCTCCCACTCCAAACCCCTCCGGCTAGTGCCTGCCATACATCACCTCCATGTTGGTGCACATAGCAAAATGAATTCTTCACATGGGTGTAAAAACAAAACAAAACAAAAACAAAAATAAAGGGAAGACCACTGGCAAGGCCTTTTTGAAAATGAAGGTTTGCAGGATTCCCTAAAATGGCCATATTCTGAATTCCCCTAATCTTTTCTGAAAGTCCCTTCTGTCAGGAGACTATGAAATCATTAGGGTAAAGATGAAACGATAATTCTTCTAGCACTTTCCATAGCTGGCTCCCCTTACTCGGGAGTGCATTATCCACAGCTTGCACACACGTCACCCTGGCTTTCAGCTGTGCATTGTCCCGTAGGACTACAGCTGTCTCAGTGATTCATTGATCAGCATTTGATCTCTACTATAGCTGGAACTTTAAAAATTAGGAGAGAGATTTAAGCTGGTATCAGAAGCTGCCTGGAAGCCTGGAGAGGGGCTTGAGCAGAGAGCCATGGAGAAGGCAGGCAGTCACCTTCTGTACCTGATGGAACCTGCGTGTTGTCTTCACAGTCAGCTTCAGCCACATGTGCTGGAACTAAGGGAACTGCCACAGCCCTGGCTGGGAGTGGTTTCTATGGTATAGAGGTTTACAGTTTGGCTCAATGGATCTCAGCACCCCTACTATGTATGTTGATCTAGCACTTCTGGCTTCATCATCATTATCATTGCATCTGCTGCACGGTGTTTTCACAAAAAAAACCCATCAGGGAGCAACTGATATAGATCCAGGATGGTGGGGTGCTTAACACGCTCTACAATCAGGTCATTTAGACTGAGGGCTACCTATGGCCTTAGGAACCTAACTTGGTCTTAGTATGATTTTTTTCTCCTTTTTTGTTAAGAGCAGTTCTATTAGGCAAATGGCTTTGCCGATCCTCAGGGCCAATTGCTTCAGGCTAATATTGTGTATTACTCTGTAATCTGACCAAATCTGGTCCACATTTCAGCTTCAGTTTCCTTGAATTCTGCCACAAAACTTGTGAGACCAATCCCTGTGTATTATAGGTTTGTTGTTAATATTTATAATGTATTAAGTGTGTAATTATGTGTTAATTGATATTATATATAATGTATAATATAATATATACATATACATATGTATAGACACACATAACTGCAGAAAACTCTTTGATCCATTTTCCTGGATTGAATAAGAGCTTGGAAACAGAACTATAATTATAGAGGTATTTTATTAGAGAATTTATCTAAAATACAATATTCATTTCTTCATTAAATTATTACATATATTACTTTAGTGGAAAGATACTCTGTATTATATCTATAATAATCTATATATTTTATAGAGATTTAATTTAAGTCATTTTGTATTTTTAAAAAAACCCAACACATTAACATTAAGACATAATTGAGGTTAATGATACCATGGCTAAAAATGTAAAACAATTTTAAAAATATTTACACTTCAGTTTCTTAATCATCAATATTAATTTGCTTTTGCACTATGTTGACACTACTTAACCTCTTACATGGCATTTAAAATGTTCAAATTGTTCTATATTTATGTGCTTCCAAAAAAGCTTCACATTACTGAGTACAATTAGTTATATGTACTATTACCTGTAGCTGAGGTTACTTAAAATGGCTTATTTTGCTATCATTATGTGCTTTGCCAAACAGCTTAAGTGCCAGTCACAGCAATCATCATCAAACATCACAAAGATTTTCTCCCTCCCCAACATATAGAGACCCTTTTTCTCTAGGGTCTTTCACATTTCATTAGCCAGAACTTCAGATGCTGAATGGAAGAAGTGAAATATCTAGGAGAAGAAATGTTGCCAGTGCACCTCTAGCGAAGGTTCTATTTGTGCTTAGCAGAAGGGACTCTTCCCTCATAGACAGAGCAATTTCCTACGAGCTCAGTGCTTTAGCTTATTGGAATGAAGCTCTAACTTCTCTGCTTTTCAGAGGCTGGCAGGGGCGCCAGTTGTCCATCATATAGTAGGGGGTTTCATTCTCAGTACTGAAGCAAAGGCCACGGAGTTTGCACAGCTGGAGAAAAAAGAAAAATCAACATTAATCTTCAAATGCATCCTCATGCCTCCAAAGACCTGTTTACAGTATATACTGTGAGCGTAGAATTGCCAGATGGTTTCAACAAAAATACTGGACACACTTGACATTACATCACAATCTACATTACATCTTATTTAGAAAATACCGGACATTTATATTTTCTCATTTAAATTTGCTCAATTTCTTTCCCAAACAGAAAGCTCAAATACTGGACTGTCCAGTTCAAAACTGGACACCTGGCAACCCTAAGCCAGAGACAATGCAAATCTTAGGCAATGGGGAAAGGTGAGTGGATTAAAGACATTTCTAAGCCATCACCTCCCTAGTGTTTAATTGGTGTGAGAGGAGATGTATATTAATTTCGATTGGAATGTACAGTAAGAATGTGAAGGCCTAATCTAAAGCACAATCTGCAGTTTCATAGCCCGCCCCCAAATAGAAATGTTGTGCATTTAATTGTCCCATAACATCTTTCTGTTCCATAGGTGCCTTATGACGGCTAGGCCCTGAAGTATCTGAAGCAAATCTGTGGTTGCCCAAGTAAGACATTTACTATACACAGTACAATTCATCTGCTTCCATTAAAAACAAGTCTCACTGTGCCACACTTGAGACAGGAAACTCTCTAGATGTGGTCCATAGGGAGTTACCTGCCTATATGTGATTTTTACACATCCTTCAGCTAATTCAGAATGGCAAAACCCAGCTTTCCAGGTCACCATGTGGATTTATTGCAGGCACTCAGCCATTCATGCTGCTTTCTCATGTGTAACACAGGTCATGCAAGTATAATTCAATGCAAGTGACCAGCAGGTTAGAAATAGTCCTCATTTTAGTTGACTGATATGGGACATTATGTCTGAGAATACACAGCTAAACAGAAACTGCTCACAGAAGTTTGAGATAGGGCTGCAGCATTTTGTAACATTCAGAATGGCTTTGTGACATAAAATCATGCTGTACTCTGATTTCTGCATAAAGGCATCTCACAGGTGAAGAGCTGCCTTATGAGTGGCTTTTAACTTCACCGAGCGGAATAGTATGTGGCTCAGAATGCTGAAACACGGTGTTCCAATAATTAATCATTCATTTCAGTATAGCAATCCTTATTCCTTTGCTATCCTAAACAGCTTCCTGCCCTCCGGACAAAATTCAAATATACCTATCTTTAGAAAAGCAGCTCTCAACTGAGAATTGAAGTCCAGTGAAAACATTCCCCAAAAGATACTAAATTTTAGGATTTCCTTTCTCCTTCCCCCAAACTGTTTTATGTTTTTTTTTATTTGTTCAGCATTTAGGATTGAAAAATACATGATATGTGCAGCTTTGGTCTTGAATAGTTGTCTTTGAAAGGTGCAATGTGATAAAGAGAATTTGAGGATGGCGAGAAATAGAGGATGACTTTCATAAGACTGGCCATACTGAGTCAGGCCAAAGGTTCATCTAACCCAGTATCCTGTCTGCTGACAATGGCTAGTATCAGATGCCCCAGAGGGAGGTAACACAACAGGTAATTCTCATGTGATCCCTTCTCCTGTCCCACAAGGGAAAATACTCATTTATTCTGAGTATTTCCCCTCTTCTCTCTCCCATATCCCCTAGAGTAGTAGTAGTAGTTCTTGCGTCTTTAAACAAAATGTCAATCTTAAGACTCACCCCAAAGCATCTTATTAGTAGCAACAGATTCTATACTTTAATGAATATTTCCAATAGTTCATCTTCTTCCTTTCCCCTGCACTTTTATTTAATTATTCCCAGCACCAGATCACGGCTTCTTTTCATCTCAACTCAATGAAGAAACACAATTATTTTATTATTGTTAGAGCAATAGCCATTGGTATAATTGATTTAAGCCTTTGAGGGTTAACTAAAGCCCTTCAGACATGGTTTATATTTATAGACTCGAAGGTCCTATTTTTATCTTCTTAGCTAAACCACTGCAGACCTGAGGATGAAACTTGAATCTAAATAATTTCATTAAGGAATGGTACACAGAACTAAAGCCCAGAGACACTCAACTTCTCAGTGCTCTACTTTGCTACAGCATTTGCCAGTGTCATCAAGCTGCACAATATAATAATTTCTTAAGATAAAATGCTAACTTTTGGAATTTTCTGCATTCCAAGAAATGGTATTTCTACTTTGCTCCTGACCTGAGTAGCAGCAAAGTCCACTTCAATACACATATGAAACGCAGTTGCCAGAGGGGGAGAAAATAACCATTTCAGATATGCATATTGAACCAGTGATTCATTATGCTATCTGCTTTTTCAAAAAGCTTTGCTATCATACTCAGTTCTATTCCAGTAATGTAAACTGAAGCTTTAGCAGAAGATCCCACTGAAGACTAAACTAAAACGAAAGTGTATTTTGACATAGAAAAAAGCTTTAGCTACTGAAGATTTACCTGTTCTGGGCTGACATGAACGGGTTCTCTCAGAACATGCCAGATAACACATTCAAGTAGAGGGGGAGTGGTCAGTGAACCTTGGTAAGTCCAGTAATCCAGGGATGAGGGAAGCAGTTTCATGGGATCAAAGTTTGTGAAGGAAGCTTGCTTGCCCTACGAAGACAGAACAGCCTGTTAAAACTGTGGTGTAAGAGGAATTGGAAAATACACACCCTGCTTGCCTTAGTGGAACTAGTTAAGGGAGATTTGTTATTTCTTGCCAAATGTGTCCTCTGCTTGAGAGAGAGCGAGAGAGATGGATGCTAATTCTGCACAATACTGAGGCCCTCCTACAATTTGCTAATGTCTGTTGGGGTTAAAGTTGCTCAGCACCTTCCAGTTTTGAGCCCTCAATTCTTGTTTCAAATGTCTAAAGTTACTGCCTCTTCTCAAAACATCCAAAATCTATGTCTTACACACAGATGGCTAAAGAGATATAGCAAATATAAAATTATTGATCTGATTCTGCTACATAATGTTAATGGCTAAACTCTCATTGACTTCAGTAGGAAATGGATCCTGCCTTGCATGATTAAAGATTGGCATATTAAAAATGCAGAAAGAGCTTTCCTGTCACCTTTGCGGCTGGGGGCCTAATATGGCAATAAATATTGGGGGGGATCACAGGAGGAAATTTGAACCCAAACGTGTTATTAGTGTAACTCATTTGATTAATGCCAGGGATGAATCTGGCCCTGTTCAATAACTGTGGACACCACTGCAATTGAAAGTCACAAGCACACCATCATATTGAGATGAAATCATTCACATAAATCCTTTCCAGTTGCAGGATAATCTACTTGCCTCCTATTACCCTAATTTGAAAAAAGTATTTGAGCTCTCATCAGGGTAGGGATTACATAGGCACCAATGCTGATGACATGGAGAGAGCTGTTCTATACAGTAGCACTTGCATATGGAAAGCAAAAGTAAAGAAACACAATTTTGAGCGTTGAAAGAAGACTATAAGAAAGCAGCTGTGCTTGCTGTCAACTGGCACAGAGATCATGCACTACCTTGGTTTGAATGGAGTCCAGTGCATCAATAACTTTCTGTATCCCAGGCCTGGCACTTCCCACCTGTAATACAAACCACAAGAAAAGAAAGCATGTAGATGCATACATCATGGCTTAGATTTACCACTGCAGCTGAGTGATGTCACATGTTAAATTACATCACCACTGCACCAATTAGAGATTTCTTATAATGCTGATTGATTAAAGTGGCTGTTCTCTCACATTGTAAAGAATATGAAGTTTGACAGCACAAGTGGCTTCCATGGACTAACCTGCAGAAGTCAAGGACTGTGGGACAGAATAAAATGATTTTTTAATTATATGTAAAATTTGTTAATGAATTTTAACTGTTCATTTTTCAGAAGATGTCAGATTTAAACTGCCAACTTGGTAGCACAGTAAAACAAATCAGATTCTTTAGCTGGTTGTGTATTTCTTCACCTCTGTATTAAGCAAAGGTAATTCATCTTGCACAAAATACACCACCACTGAGCAGTGACAAAAGAAATGGAATATAGAGGTTACTTAGGCCTTGTTTACACAGTTTTTATGCTATGTGATTTTTTTAATGACTGTTATACCAGTAACACCTCGGCTACGTCTACACTGGCCCCAAATTCCAGAAAAGGGATGCAAAGCAGGTAAGTCAGAATAGGGAAATCCGCGGGGGATTTAAATATCCCCCGCGGATTTAAATAAACATGTCCGCCGCTTTTTTCCCGGCTTGGGGAAAAGCCGGAAAAAAGCATCTACACTGGCGCGATCCTCCGGAATAAAGAGATCCTCCGGAAAAGGGCTTTATTCCGGAGGATCGCGCCAGTGTAGATGCTTTTTTCCGGCTTTTCCCCAAGCCGGGAAAAAAGCGGCGGACATGTTTATTTAAATCCGCGGGGGATATTTAAATCCCCCACGGATTTCCCTATTCTGACTTACCTGCTTTGCATCCCTTTTCCGGAATTTGGGGCCAGTGTAGACGTAGCCCTCTAGTATATTGGTATCAAGGACCATAGACCACTATATCTTATTTCTCTTCCTAAACAGAAGGATTTACTGAGTATACCTTAATGCCAATATAACTCTGGTGGATGTACCTCTTTAACTCTATAGTACTGTTAAAGCACTACAGCTTCTGGGTGTAGACAAAACCTTAGATTTTAAGCTTTCTGGGTGGGGAAAGTGTTTTAGTCTTGTGTTTGTAAAGTAGCTATCGTGATGGAGGACCTAGGCATTAATACAAACAATACATTACAATAATAATAAGATGATTGTTTTAACTAACCTGCAGAAAAACGCCTACCACACACAATCCATCAGGATGTTTCACAGCTTCTCCAAATTTACCATACTTTGTATTCCAGTGAACAAGGTGAACCTAAAGCCAAGAATAAGAGATGTTTATAAATAGTACATTCCATCTAATGGAGTATCTCATCTAATAGATGGCCATTTTTACTAAACATTATCACAGATTTTTTTACTGCTGAAACTTTACAAGTTTTGAATACAGTTATATATAAACTTGTTTCATCATTGAATTGCTTTTATGTCGCATGTAGAAATGTATGCAATAGATAATTATAATGCATAAAATGTGCTTCTCATGATTATTTTCAAAAAATGTTTCTGAATGCAACAGTTATTATTGGACTTTATCTTGTAGTTTTTATTCTGGCAAAACTCCAGTTGGCTTCA